ATTGTAGACAGAAAGAACGATATCTTCGAATTAAGAACCGCATCAGTTTAAAAATATCGTTCTTTCTATCCAATATTTTTTCCGCTTAATAAAAATTATTCTTGAGCAACAAGAATATATTTTTAGTAGAACTATATTGAATTTCTTTGTGTAAAAAAAAGAGCGAATTTTATTATCATATAAGATTATATTATATATTTTCTCTTTATGTAAGATTATATATTTTTGCTCATACACAGATAAAAAAATTATTCTACTACTAAGAAAAACGATTATTTAGTTTACTCTCCTTTTGTTTCAATAATAATTATTTTCAATATAAAAAATATTTCTTGATGATTTCTTAATGATAGTCTTAAAATATATTCATGACAAATTTGAGAAAAAAAATCATTATTACTTACTCGAAAGAAAAATCGATTCTCTTCTCAAGAATATTATAAACTTTATTGGAAAAGGTTAAATTCTGTTAATTTAAATAAGCAACTTCGAAGTTTGTTTTAATTTAATATTTTTGACTGAAGTACTAAACTTACTAGGATTCAGAATATATCTTGAATAAATTGGTTGAACTCATGATATATTGACGAATATATTAACTTATGAAATGCTTGAAATAAGTGATATTCACTTGAAAACAATATGTATTTTTTTGTGTGTACATATAATATGAGTTTTGAATTAATACTAATTCTAGATCCGTTCTTTTTCTTTGAACTAGTGTATATTTGTAAAATTTAAAAAGGGATTGATGTATAGTCAAGACTCGGTGGAAGAAAGAAGAGAAGAGGACTAGTACAAGCTAATGCAGTCATTTCAGCGAAAAAAAAACAGACCTACAATTAGTACACCTACACAACTGATCAGACTCTGGTAACAACATTATTGGCTAATTACCGACAAAAAGATAAAAGGCGTACGATGATCCCACGCGATGTGAGCGTGAACATCGGTATATGCTGCCTCTGAACCGATTCCCTGATAATAGCGTGCGGAAGCGTGTGTTAAATTGGCGGTGAAATCTATTTTAGTCAATGGGTTTGCGAAGTGTTTCGCTGCTTCGACTGCTTTTATGCGAATAATATGAACTTAGTTCTTGTCGTCGCACGTGCGTGCGTGCGTGCGTGCGTGCATGCATGCGGGCGTGCATGCGTGCCGATAAATACCGCTAGAAATCTTTGTCATACAGATTATCCTCGAGACACCAAGATCGAGATTGTGTCTCGAAGATTCGATCAGATCTCTACAGGCCGTCTCACGTTCCCCTGTGGTTCCTCTCGAATCAGAAACTCGGACGAGCCGAGCTTCAGAGTCGAAATGTAGAGTTGGAGAAAACTCGTGAATTCTGTTATCGTCTCGATGAATTAAAGCAGATTTATGCTCAATGGGGTTTTCAACTTTCAAGGAAAATATGGCACGTTTCTTTCGTATCAAGCACGTGACATTATAATTAAAATGCCTCGAAATGTATAAAATGGCAATAAGATGTAGATCATAAAAAATATAAAAAATGAGACGTCTGGTAGCCATTTGATCGTACAGCAAACGTTTCTTCTACTGTAATATATGCTGATTTATGGACGACATTAAAGCGATTTTTTGAAACGCCACGCTTGATTAACAAGCGATCACTAGTTCGTGTCATCTAAGGCATTGCCGATTGCAATGCTCATTTAATCTTTTAGTTTCGGAAAAGCTCGAATTTATTGTTGTTTCTTTTCAATTTCTCAATTACTCGTTCTCTTACGTGGAAACGTATCAACATTTCAACGACCACACATGTCGTGGAAACATTTGTCTTACGAATCTGACAGTTCGCTTGGATCGTATCTAAAAGAGTCGCGATCATCTTTCTCATGTACACTGAAAGAAAAAGTACATTCAAATAATGTTTACTTGATCCAGGCAAAATAGTTACTACAATACTCTTTGGCAAATATATTTACTAGAAGTAGAAATATAGTTGACTACACAATGTGTTCATAATTAATACATATTGTGTTATTTTCTTCGTATAATTAGACATTTATTTATATGTTATTATTTATGTATATGTGTGCGTGTGTGTGTGTGTGTGTGTGTGTGTAAAACTGACTTTTCTTCCTGAAATTACTTTTATTTTTCAATATAATCTCGCTACACTTCAATTCACTTGGTCCAGCGATGCTCCAGTGCTTTTATTCCATCGCGGGACAAAAAAGTACGGCCAAGATGTTCCCCATTTTTTCCAATTTTGGATACCATTTTATTCAATAAGATTTAAATAGCCGTCAACCTAATTACAATACTTTCTTTTTTCCCTTTTTTAATGTTCAATTTTCCCTATTTTCAACAACGCACTAAGGTGACTTTGCTATTTCTAAACAGCTATTTCTAACTAACAACTCGATAAATTGACTTGATATCTCACAGCTGTTCGTAGGGCGAATGTGGCGCCACGATGCGATAAGAAACGCGATATTAATCTTCTATATGGTAGACCGCGAACTTTTCAAATTGTGTATATATATTACGTATATATAATTTACGTTTATGTTAAAACAATCTTGACAAATATTACATTTATAATCTTGAGAATAACAGAATTTTAATTTTGGAAATATATTTACTGGACAGAAAAATCGAAATTTAAAACTAATTTTTTCAACATAAAAAAAATATTATATAAATCTAGTATATAAATATTCTCTTAAATTTAGAACAATTTACTTATATTCAATTCAAGTAATTCAAGTAATTCATTTCACAAATTAAAATATTACCGCGACTAGTGAATATTTACTACAAGCCGTCAAAATATACTTAAACTAATAAAAAATATTATTTAATTTAAGAAATTGAAAAACAGATAATTACGTTTACTTGATTGTAGTACTTCTTTTCTGCGCATAAATTCGTAAATCTATTTTTATATAGATCCTCTAAAATATTACAATTACAGACACTGTCATTATAGACGAATATTTCTGCATAAAGTAACAATCTCTGATGGAATGAAATCGCACATACATGCAGCCGACAAGTGTTAACTTTGTCTCTTCTGATTCAATTTAGCTTTATTTATCCAAACATTTATCCTGTTTTCGAGATAAATGGAAAATACATTTACTTAATACGATATCGAAAGGATTAATAAATCACTCGACGAGTAATTTGCAACATGCGTGACGGTGCTTCAATTAACTGCCTCGCCTGTTGTGAAGCGCGTTAAATTATTGTCGATTGCCTCAGCAGTTTTCTATCTCTTCGAGATCCCACCTGCGCTTTTTAGCACGTGACTCATAAAAGCCACGCATAAAAATAGCTTTCGTTATTTAGCAATGGCGGTTAATGTAATTTATTGCGTTTTTTCATATAATAACTCTATCGATCATCAATTCTTCATTACTCAATGCGATAACGTCGTGGATTATTAATCGCGCGCTTTACGTTCTGATCGCGAACTAATCGGAAATTGTTGATTTCGCGTGAAAAATAGCAGAAAACGTTTTTTTCCAGAATTATAACCGTTTTTCTTACTCTCACGACGCTCTTGGGAAATACCGCGAGCAAACATTTAATTAATTTTTATCGAAAGCAAATATTTAATCAAGGTAGTTATAACATGAGTTTTTAAGAATTCGTTGAAACTTGTACTATATATAGATTTAAATATAACTTAATTATCGGCGCAATTAGAATACGATTGACCATTCGGAAACTGAGATGCTCGCAACTGAAAATGATACTTTTTATACGTGTTCCTTGAAATTAATGTCTTATTTTTAATTTCTATTTTTAATTTCTTCTAAACCATATTTAAGATTTCAATAAAAAAACCACTATAATATTAAGGACTAATATAGAAGCATTATATAAAAATTTAAAAACCCATGACCATTTCGTTTTGAAAATATAGACATAGGAAATATAATCTATAATTTACAGTAATATCCGCGATATATACATATACACATATTTTTAAATATTTATACATAATTTTTTATTATGTATGCACCTTTATCAGTTTAACTGACGTATAAATAAAGCATTAATAAGAAAAATAAAAGATAAATAATATCTCCGTGTTTGTAATATATATATTATATACTTCTTTTAATTTCGTTCAAAATTAAAATTTATTATTTAGATAATCAATTAAATAAAATTATAGGAAAGTATTTTTTTATTAAATAATAAACTTACGTAGAAGCTCTTTAATATTGCTAATTGAATATCCGGCATTCTATGATACAACTACTTTAATTGATATTTTCGTGCTTTGATGCTCTAAAAGTGTACGTCCAAACGCACTTTCGATGTTACATCATAAAAAAAAAAGTTATAACGCGTGCCTCGGAACAATGAGCACGGTCGTATCGTTATTGATGTAAATGACGCAGGGTTAAACGACCATGAGAGAATCCGGATAGACATGTCAGACCTCGATTAAGTGTATATGCGGTGTGTTAACGCGACAGAGAGAACAACGTTGTGTAACATTCAGCGTACGACGAGGGCGCATAACAGTCATATAAACGGAAACGACGTCGTTGCATATGCATGCATGCAAAAGCCACGAAAGCCGTAAAGGAGAGAACAATAACGCGAGGTCTTCGGTTTGAATCGAATTTTTTCCCGTTCGACACTCGTCAAGCTTGAACGTGCAATAACACTGGTTTGCAATCGCTATCGCGGGGAAAATAAATACTAAGAATAGCTTATTTTTCCTCAGATTAATTTCAAATTTAGATTAGAAAAAGAAACAGGGAAAACGAAAAGAGCTCTCACGCTGAGAGAAGCTATGGAGTGAGTCGTCTCGAATTCGTAACTTGGAAAATGTACATTATATACGATGGATATCAGCCTTTATTGAGTGGTTATCAGAGAACAACTGTAATGTTTCCTCTCTAAAATATATACGTATAAACGCTGTATCTCAGAAACGTTGTATAAATCATAAGTGTGTGCAGAGAGAATTAACAGAAACCAGTGTATCAATCAGTTCCAATTTATTTCAGTAAGGGACAATGGCTTCGATCACGGAGGACCCGTATCCGGAAATTACGGAGTCCGGAGAGGGAAGGTAAGAGTATCAATTTCTCTCTTTCTTTTGTCTTATTACGCTTCTTTCTCCATAAATAATTCTCTAAAATTCACTATCGTGCTTCCAGAAATCCGGGATTCTGCAGATTGTTGTTAAGATTCCTAGCCATTTACTGGCGATCCATTATTGTGGTGTTATGGCCATTGATTCTGACTCCGTTGCTGATAATCGAATATGAGAATGTAGGTATCTTGTACGATATGATGTCTTCGATCTGAGGAAATTGAATCACGTGTAAAGATTCGCGAGAAGCCTCGCTAACAACCTGATCTATACATTGTATTTTATTCTGTTTACATGCAGCCTCTCGCCATGCGCTGTTTGTACGTAGTCGCGTTGATGGCGATGTTCTGGGTGACCGAGGTACTACCGTTACCCATCACGGGTTTAATCCCGGTGGTTTTGTATCCGCTGATGGGTATTATGTCTACTAGCGACACGTGTCTGTGTTATATGAACGACACCACGATGATGTTCTTGGGAAGTCTGGTAATCGCGGTGGTCATCGAGAATTCCGGTTTGCACATGCGAATGGCGTTGCTCATTATCAAAACCATTGGTTGCAGCCATCGGAGGTACTTTTATCATTGCTTGTCATTTGATATCGGAGATCCCAGAGTTTTTATATTCCATATATTCTTCCTCTCTATTAATTATAATTTGTTTATATATAATTATAATATCTTTTATATTTTATTATTTATATCTTTTATATTTTATTATAAAGAAAAGTGCTAGATTCAAATAAATAGTCACTCCAATACTCCTTAGCAAACTTTTGCTCGGATAAAGTAAATATTACTTGATCCAAGTAAAAATATTTGCTAAGGAATATTAGAGTAATTATTTACTTGAATCTAGTACTTTTTTCTGTATATAGAAAAGACTGGTTTGTACTTGTATTTATTTTTATTTTCATATTTTATATATTTTATATTTTTTCTTGTGCTAATTTTGCTTTCAGGTTAACTTTAGGCTTATTTTTCGTGACAATGTTTATTTCGATGTGGATCTCCAACACTGCCGCTACAGCCATGATGATACCCATAATGGAAACTGTCCTCGTGGAACTTCAAACAGTAAGTTTTCATTCTTTTTTCCCGAAATTGTAGTGGGAAACAAGATTTTAAATTCTGTATGCTCCCTTCAGCAAGGACTCGGAAACATGTTCATTCCAGATGAAAGTGCAGCTAATGAGGAAAGCGGCGAAACGTGAGTATTTGTCTTCGTGTATCTTCTTTCTTTATTTTTTGTATTCTTGTATTTTCCGGATATATATCTTCGATATTTTGAAGTGTCAATATCCAGATAAAAGTTACGTTAAAATCTTTATTATTCTGATATCTTGAAGTGTCAATATCCAGATAAAAGTTACGTTAAAATCTTTATTATTCTGTTTAGGTCTAAAAGACCTACGCACACTACCATGGTGTATTATCTCGTCGCAACTTACGCGTCTAGTCTCGGCGGTATCGGCACTATAGTCGGATCTGGGACCAATTTGACGTTGAAAGGTTTCCTTGAAAAGTACGTATAAATATTTTCGCAATTAAAGAAATCATATTTAATTCCTGAAAAGGGCATGCAAAGACAAACTTATATTTTAACAGAATTTTGAATATTAACGGGATTAATATGTGTGTAGTTTTGTTTTAGTATGAGTTTGACATCAATTTGACATGAGTTTGCTTTTGAAACGGATTAATTTTATAAAAATTAATTATTTTTAAGAAAGTAATGTCCATTAGCGTCATATTTTCTATATATTATACCGCATCAAGAGGATCATAAATTTAATATTTATCAAACAGAATTACATTCCTATGCATTTATTTCACTACCTAAATGTTAATTTAAAATAAAGTTGACACACACACACGCACACACAGATATGAAAATATTGTTTATTCTTCTTATTGGGGCTCAGCTCCTTTGGGCAGTCATATTAGTTTTATAACGTCATAGACGAAAAATGATGTAGTAAGTTTTATATATATATAGTATATATATATACTTTTTTATTTTTTAGTTTTTCTTAAAAAACATAGTAGTTTAGTAATCCTAAAACTTGTAAAATATGTGGCAAACTGAGATGTCTGTCCGATATGTAGAACTGTAACATAGAATCGCAAACTAATTTCTGAAATAATGTGTCATTTTTCCGCCATCTCAACTCACGGCCGTTTAAAAATGGTTGAAAAATTATCCGTTATTTCAAGAATTATTTTATAATGGGAATACAAATTAGTTCGGTCCGTTTTTTGTGGTCAAAAATGCATTTATTTCAGAACAAAATGAATGAACAGATTAATCAATGTATTGTCCATCGCTGGCTACTACTTTTTCCCACCTCTCAGGCAATTTTCGAGTTCCATCTCGAAAAATTGTCTCGTCTTTTGCGGCGATCCAAGTTAGGAGCCAATTTTCCATTTCTGCGAAAGGAGTGAACCGTTGACCTGCCAAATTGTGCTGCATCCTTCGGAACAACCAGTAATCAGAAGGAGCAATGTTCAGCGAATACGGCGGGTGCAGTGCAGTAAAATATCCCACTTGAGCGTTTCCAAATAATTTTTTACGACTTTTGCGACATGAGGCCGAGCGTTATCATGCAGAAGAATAACTTTGTCATGTCTTTGCTAGTATTCCGGCCGTTTTTCTCGTAATGCAAACGAATCAATTGTAGCCTATACCGATGGCCCGTAATGGAATCGCCAGGTTATAGCAGCTCATAGTATACAACACTCTTTTTTGGCTGTCCAGAGCGAGGCTTGTCTTCAACGCTGCAATCACTATTCTTGAAACTTCTAAACCATTCCCTACATGATTTATCAGTTGGAGCATTGTCACCATAAACTTCTACAAGCATTCGATGCGCTTCAGTTGCACTTTTCTTCCAAATAAAGCAGAAAACTAAAACCTCCCGCGATTGCTGCTTAGTTAACACAAAATTTGACATATTCGACATAGTATATATTTATGAAACGAAAAGCACTTGGACTGAAACTGCGCAGTCTTTACTGGCTTATGAATGGTAATTCTCATCTCTCAGTGGATAATAAATTGCTCCTGTATAAATGCATTCTCAAATCAATCTGGACATACGGCATACAGCTTTGGGGAACCACGGCAAATTCATGGAAATCCTACAAAGATTTCAATCTAAAACTCTTCGGCTAATTGTTAACGCTCCTTGATACATCTCCAACGACAGATTATACTTGGATTTAAATATTCCCACCGTAAAAGAGGAAATTGTAACACATTCCAGACTATATAAAGCGAGAATCTTATCACACCCTAACCAGCTGGTTCACGGTCTGATGGACGACAGGACAACCTTTCGCAGATTAAAAAGGGAAGCTCCGCAGAATCTACTCATGAGTTGACTATACTTATGAGTTAATTATATAATACATACGGACAGGTCACTGGACTCCTCCGTGCAAATCTTAAAACTTACTTAACCTATTGCTAAATGTCTTGAACCAGATAGATTGCAGTAACTAGTGATTTTCAACAAAAAAAAAGTACTATCNATTTGAAATGACGAAGTTCTCGCGCTTATGTGTTCCCAGACGCTTTCCTGAGAGCCCCGGCATAAATTTCGCTTCCTGGATGCTTTATGCGGTGCCACCCATGCTATTGATGGGCCTTTTCACATGGTTGTGGTTGCAAGTGATGTATATGGGTCTCTTCAGGCCACAGAGCAAAGACGCTCGCGCTATAAACATAGGTAAACAGGGTGAGAGGGTTGCAGCAGCTGTTATCGAGAAGAAGTACAAAGAACTCGGATCGATCACATGGCATGAGTCCGCCGTGGGTATTTTATTCATCATTGTGGTCTTTCTGTGGTTCTTCAGGAGTCCTGGATTCATGGACGGTTGGCCTGTTTATATCACGAATATGTAAGTATCCAACAGTACTTCATAATCTTCTGATTGATAAAATTATATTTTGCCTTGCCCCTAATTTTAAAATGCAGATAGATAACTTATTTCGGTTTAACATTTTATTTAAATTCACAGGAGTGTCAAGGATTCGACGGCAGCCGTGCTCGTAACGATAATATTTTTCATCCTCCCGGCGAAGTTGGATTTTCTGCATGCGTTCGACAAGGATCCGCACAAACGGCCAACCCAACCATCTCCTGGGCTCATTACTTGGAAAACGATTCACCAGAAGATGCATTGGAGTCTGATAATGGTATTGGGTGGTGGCTTCGCTATTTCGGCTGGCAGCACTTCATCGAAGCTGTCAGAGATGCTTGGCCAGTCCTTGTCGGGGTTGCAAAAGATCAACGTGGTGGCGATATTGATAATCGTCTGTTTATTTGCTGAGACCGTGACTGAATTGACTGCCAATGTGGCGGTGGCAAACATCATATTGCCAGTATTAGCGGAAATGGTGAGCGCGGATTTGATAATAAACTGCGACGACGTCTCTGAATTTTTTCCGAACCTGATAAAATTTAGATGGATATTCTTCCGACAAACACTTTGATATTGTTCGGTTCTCGTCCTATGTCGTCTATGCCCTAATTGTTCTTCTCAGTCCGTTTTTAAAGCTTATTTATCAATTTTCAAACTGATTTCTCTCTTTGTTTTTCAGTGTGTGGCAATCAAAATACATCCCTTGTATCTCATGCTGCCAGCATCTCTCTGCTGCTCGTTTTCGTTTCACTTGCCGGTCGGCACTCCACCGAATGCGATCGCCAGTGCCGCGGGGCACATAAAGACGAAGGACTTCATGTTTGCCGGTATCGGACCCAGCATCGTCACACTCATCATCACCGTGGCGACATTCCCCACATGGGGTACATATGTATTTAATCTATCGAAGTTCCCCCAATGGGCGGTATAACGCAGCGTTATGCGCCATAGTCTCATATTTTATTTATTTTTGTTCTACACTGATGTGAACGCAATTAAAACAACGACAAATACTTATTATGCACAAATACACATGAACATTCTCATCTTGCCTAATTTGTTAATTTTTTTTCTTACGAATCCCAAAGTATATTTAAGTATATGTGAAGCTGTAATACATTCAGTGCAACTTGAGCCACCAGCATTTCGAAATATTATATATATATATGGCCGTCACTTAATGAAGAAGCTTAACGAGTTATGTATCAGGTTGAAAGTTTGAAGAAGAAATTTATGTGATTATGAATGATTATGAGTTTCATGTAAGGAAGAGTATGTTAAAATAATTAGGAATTGACAAAACAAATTGTTTATACAATTAATATAAATATGAATAAATATCTTGTAAGAATGTAAAATATCGTATTAGAATAACTTTGCACTTAGGTAATCATTTTCTACAAGATATATATGTGTACATATACAACAGTAAGTTCCTTGTAATAATAAATCTAATGTTTCCCTCTCTCTGATGGAAATTTGTTGAAAGTACTATGAAATCGATGAAAAGTGAAATGAAAGTTATTAAAAAAAATTACTAAATATAGTTCAAAATGAATCATAATTTACCTTATAAAAAATTTAATGTAATATCATGAAATATAAGGGAAATTAAATAATATTTGTTGGAAGATAATACATTTTTTTAAATATCAGATATCAGAACGTAATACATTTTTTTAAATATTAGATATCATGAAATTTACATGAATTTAAATGAAAATTGAATTTTTACTAAAATATAGATAGAGTAATAATGAGATAAAGTCAATTGAGAATTTAAAATATATTTCAGTAAAATTTTACTATATATTCAATAAAATATTTCCATTAGGGTTCTTCTATACCAGGTGTATGCATAAGTTTTTTCCGGTTTTTTGGTAAAAAAAAAAACACGTAATTTTCAAGGGAAATTAATTTTTTTTAAAATTCAAAATATTGCTCGTAAACGTCTGCTGATTGTTTCTTGTGATACATGTAATGCTTCTGCTAATTGCCGTTGAGTTTGAGTTGGGTCATCATTCAATAACTCCTGCAATTGCTCGTCTTCGCATTTTTGTGGTCTACCAGTGCGCTCACTGTCTTTCACATTGAAATCACCATTTTTAAATTGTCGAAAGCATGTCTCACATGTTCTAATCGATGGAGCGTGTTCACCATATGTTTCTACCAGCAAACGATGACTTTCAACAGCTTTTTTCTTTTGATTAAATAAGAAAAGCAATGCGTGCCGCAAATGTTCTTTTATAGGCACAAAACTCGAGTGATCACTGAACGATAAAACAAAGACGCTAGTTTTGGCGGACTCAACTTGTGTGTGTTTGTAGTTTTAAATGTCATACGAACAAAATGACGTATGTGTCAAATTAATATGCTGCGTACATTTCGCTGGCGCCATCTCTTAATTAAACCGGAAAAAACTTATGCATACACCTGGTATTTACCTCAACAATTATAAAATTTATTTACTATAATAACAATAATGAGTAATAATAACAATAAATATTTATATTGTTCAAATATCAACCAAATATTTGTATATTTTAAAAGGCACAATATATTAATGTAACATTCATAGAAGATGTTATGACATTCTATATGTCAAACATTATAACGATATAAGATGTTATACGAGATTAATTAAGATATTACAAAGAGATGTGATAACGTTCTATATGTTGAATATTCCGGTATAAAATGTTATTAAAGCGATGATAAATATATTAAATCTATATAATCGTTACTCACCATCTACGTCGGAATCACGATTGATACTTTCCATTTTTTCCGCCGTATTTTGATACTGTGATTATTGCCGACAATGAAGTCAAGACACTGATTTAAGAAAGTCAGTAATGTTTTATCCAAAACCCTATGGCAAAATTAAAACAGTTTATAAAACATGGTAAATCATTGAACTGGGCTTAATAAACATAACCTTCACGATCGGGATATAACCTATAAAATGTCGCATTTTATCACACACACACGATTCCGTAATATGCGTATAATGAATGAAAATACGCCAAAATAATTAAATGCATAACAAAACACTAAACATCTGCGATATCTTCAGTACTTACATCGATATGAACACGAAGATTCATAACTACTGGACAAGCAGTAACAAGTCCTTTCTATCCTCCTTTTCTTCAATTCTGGTGGCAGGCAGCTCGTCGGCCTCGTATCGCTCTAACACCACTGACAACTGTGCCAAGTCCAGCGCACAAACGTAGTATTACTATATAGCTAGGGAGAGAGAGAGAAGTTCTGTCTCATGTTACGTCCACGATAGATAACTATATAGGGAAATTTGAAAGTAGTAAA